CCTGTGTCAGGGTCCAGCCCCTCATGCCCCCCTGGCACACACCTGTCTGCTCTCCTGTGGGAACCTGCTCCTCTCTGGCCCCTCTGCCTGGAACGCTGGCCCCCAGAACTCAGTCATGGCTGAGTCCTTTGCCTCCTGCTGCACCTGTAAGGGGCTGTCTCTACCCCTTTACTTCCCCTCCCATCTCCCTACACCCCTTCACTCATCCCTAGAAGCCTGGAGGAACTAGAACAGCTGCTTGTACCGGCCTTCTCGCCGACAGGAGCCTGAGCTTCCTGCCTGGGGCCTGGTCAGTGGTTAAGGGGACAAAAAGTTGGCCATATATAGGAGATGTGGCTTTAACAGGGGTAGAGCTGGAGCAGCAGAACCTATGTGTGGCACTGTCAGGAGGGGGAGGGGGACTGCCCATGGCAGGTGGGGTTGGGCAGCCTCCATGTTAGGAGCCCAGAGCTGGGAGGCTCTCCCCGAAGTGGACGGCAGGGATGGAGGGAAGCATGTCAGGGCCAAGTCTCAGTGTAGTAGCTGACCTACTACTGCTAGTCTCCTGCTCACCCTTTTCCATTTTCAGAAGTGTGATTGGGTGAGGGTGTGGTCACCGGGGCAGGCTCCCTCATGAGGGCGCAGCCCTTGCCCCTGAGGCCTCCGTCTTCCAAAATTGGAATGCAGAAGTCGTATTGGGCAGGCCCCTGGCACCACCCTCAGCCCACTTCTGGGTGCTCTTGCTTAGCTGGGCATAAACCCGGCAACCAGTGCCTCTGGTCCTGGGATCCCTGGGGAGCATGACTCGCATTTCTCTTTCTGCTTAGAGGTGGTTTCAGTGGGGAGGGGTGAGCCTAGCTTTGGTGATGGCAGGTGGGGGGGAAGAGGGGATGGCAGACGTGCACCAGAGCTTGACCAAAGGACCCAAGAGGAAACAAGGGCACCCTCTTCTTTCTTCTGGCCCAGCCCTTCCACCTCCCCAGGTTATCTTGGAAATAGCTCTGCCCGCTTGGCCTTGACCTGTTGCCCACACTGCTGCCTGCTGCTCTCCCTGCAGGGCTGGACCTCTCTCCTCAGGGCTTCGGTTCCCACCAGCTCCCTGGCTCTGCCCACAGCAACCTGACCTTTCATTACTCCCCACCCCCTCCCGTCTGGGGACTTGTGGAGATGATGTCACAGCTCCTCCCAGTCCAGCCATCAGCCACAGGCTCTCACAAGGCCTCATTCTGTGGGCAGGGCCTGTCAGAGCAGCGGGACGTGGGGAGGAAGTCCAGTACTCCTAAGAAAAGCCAGTATGTGGCCCTCACACCCGGGTGAGCAGTCGAGCCACTAGGGGAAGGAACTTCTGGCAGCTCACACACATGCACATGTGTACAGGCAACAAGCACCAGATATGGGCACGTGTGTACATGCAACACAGCAGGCATGCACATGTGTGCACACATTCATGTGCATGCATGCACACATCTCCTGGCTCCCCTTTACATGGGCCAGTTTCCTCACTGAGATGCAGGCATGTCCCCACTTGTGTTAACAAGGACCAGAGGATTGTGCCTCCATTTGAGTGTCAGCCCCCCTGGGACAGAGGAGTCCTCCTCTGGAGACCCCCTCTACTCCTGCCAGCCCTCCCCCGCTCAGGTTTGTTGGGTCCCTTGACTTGTGCCCTGCACGCCGGGTCCTGCTCAGCAGCCCCACCCAGCCCAGGCAACAGTGGCTGGTGGGGCTATTTTAAGTTCGGTTCTGTGCCTGCCCTCCCCCCAGGCTTTGCTACTGGCCACCTGCCGCCGCCTGTCCGGCCTGGAATGCTGACTGGCAGTTGGCCAGGGTGGGGGCTGGGGACAGACTGTTATAAAACTGGGTGCACCTGGGAGGCGGCTGTCCCTGTCTGGAGCCTGCCACGGTCGCCAACACCACCACCATGTCCACCCACCGCCTTGTGATGGTTCGGCACGGTGAGAGCACCTGGAACCAGGAGAACCGCTTTTGTGGCTGGTTCGATGCAGAGCTGAGTGAGAAGGGGGCCCAGGAGGCCAAGCGGGGCGCCGAAGCCATCAGGGACGCCAAGATAGAGTTTGACATCTGCTACACATCGGTGCTGAAAAGAGCCATCCGCACCCTCTGGACCATCCTGGACAGCACAGACCAGATGTGGCTGCCTGTGGTGCGCACCTGGCGCCTCAACGAGAGGCATTATGGGGGCCTCACAGGCCTCAACAAGGCAGAGACAGCCGCCAAACACGGGGAGGAGCAGGTGAAGATCTGGAGGCGCTCCTTTGACATCCCGCCACCCCCCATGGATGAGAAGCACCCCTACTACAGCTCCATCAGCAAGGTGGGCTTCTTGGGGCACCAGGGGCAGGTCTAGGGCAGGGGTCCCAGGGATGGCAGCTGGGGTGAGGGGTCTGGCTTTCTGGGGATAAAACAGCAGTGTGGACACCCCCAGGAGCGTCGGTATGCAGGCCTGAAGCCTGGAGAGCTGCCCACGTGCGAGAGCCTGAAGGACACCATCGCCCGGGCCCTCCCTTTCTGGAACGAGGAGATTGCTCCCCAGATCAAGGCTGGCAAGAGAGTGCTCATCGCTGCCCATGGGAACAGCCTGCGAGGCATCGTCAAGCACCTGGAAGGTGAGGCCTAGCTCGTGGGGTGTGCACAGAGGTGGGGGGGTACATGCCCTTGAATTAGTCAGGCCCCAACTTCTCAGGTCAGCCAAGTAACCCGTGTGGTGGAGGCAGCTGTGCAGACAGGAGTCCCCAGGGTGGGGACTTCAAACTGAATTGAACTGAGAAGCCACTTTAAGAAAAAAAAAAAAAAAAAAGCTTTGTAAAATGTCTCACTTGTTTGTGTACAATGACTTTCCTTCTAAAGACTGTGGGTGAAGACATCTGGCACCACTGACCTAAGGTCCAGGCCCTGCACAGGGGCTTCCTGGACACAAGCCTGGGCAAGAGAAGGAAGGCCATGCCCAAGGACACCCAGCTGGGCAAAGGCAGGGCCATCTGACTCCACATTTACTGTGTGACCCTGGTCAAGTCACTTCACTTGTTGGATCTCACCCTCTCTGGTTTTGGGGGGGTGCTCATGGGGCTCCTCCCAGTACTGCTTGCCATTGGACATGAGGCCCAGGGCAGGGTCCCAGCTTACACCCATGCCAGGCAAAGGTAAGACCAGTCCAAAGAAGGGTGCAGGGTTTGGAGCAGCGCTAGCCAGGGGTCTTATAGCTGGGTCCCCCCACCACTGCATGCATGCTTCTCCACTGAGGCCCCTCTGATACCTTAGACAGTTGCACAGACCCTCAGGAGTCTAAACATCCAAATGGCCTTCAAGCTTGTGGGGATTGTGAAAGGGACAGACGGCAGGCAAGGTGTGAGGTTCCAAACCTCCTGCTTTGGGGGTCGATGGGCAGCTGGCCAGAGCACAGACAGGCCCCTGAGGACTGGCTAGCCCCAGCCCACCCTCCCCAGGACGCTGGGTCCTCACACTGAGTGTTAAGACCATCTTGTCCGCCTTCCAGGGGCCCCATCTGGGAGGGAAGCATGGAGGCCTTTCTCCCACTGCCTGGAGAACATTTCCTTAAGTCACGCTGAGGGGGTGGGGTGTCAGGCACAGCAAAGGTCGAGCTGCTATTCCAGGCCAGGGGCTGTGGAGGCAGGCAGGGTCAGGTTTCCCTGGGAAACCGTGCCCTTTATACCCAGCAGAGCCTCCCTCCACCTTGGCCACCAGAGCCCTTTCTCACAGTCCCTCCAGCACATTTGTCAGGAGCACCCCTGCTCCTGATGTCTACAATTTAGAAGCCGAACATCCATCTATCTGGCCAGAGGAGTCCAATGGCACTGCCCCAGGTCAACAGCAGCTCCAAGCTGGGGGTGCAAGGTCCCTGTTCACCCTGGCTACTTCTGCAGGGTGCTCCATCTCTCACTTCTGGCTTGACCTTCCCCAAGCACATTTTTGTGGCAGTAATGCTGGGGGTGTGAGGGCTGACGCCTGGCTGAGCCAGCTCTGTGGCCCTTAAAGGTCATGGGGCCAGCTGAATGTGAGAGCAGGCAGCTGCCTGGCAGACAGGCCAGCAGGAACTAAGGACCCTGTTCCCCCGGTCCAGGCATGTCAGACCAGGCCATCATGGAGCTGAACCTGCCCACGGGGATCCCCATCGTGTACGAGCTGGACCAGGCACTGAAGCCCACCAAGCCCATGCGCTTCCTGGGTGATGAGGAAACCGTGCGCAAGGCCATGGAAGCCGTGGCTGCCCAGGGCAAGGCCAAGTGAGGAGTGGGCTTCTGGCAATAAAGGCACTTCCTCCCACCACCTGAGTCCAGTGTGGCTCCAGATGCCTGGCTCCCAAGGCCTTCAGCTGGGGGTTCAACAGCCCTCCCCACCCACCCCCATTTAGGTGCAAGGGCCCCAGGAATCAGGGGCAGGAGGCTGGTCCCCAACCTGGGCTATCGGGTAACTTCTAACAAGCCCCATGGCGACCCTAAAACCCGAACAGCCACTTGGTGACCTTGCTCTACGATCTCGGTGCCTGGAGTCACTCAGGTGTCTCTACAATGAGCAGGGACTGCATTCAAGACAGCATCACTTCATGGCCACCTTCCCGCAGACGGGGTGTCCTCTACTGTCCCTGCAGCCCCAGGGACCAAGCCTCACCTCCCAGGCATCCCCATGTCTGAGGACAAGCCCACAGCTGGTCTTGAAGTCTGTGACCCTGACTCATGGAGCCTCCAAAGCTGGATGGGCCTTGTCTTCATGATGGAGAATCTGGGATGTGGTAAGGCCTGCCTGCAACAGCCTGAGGGACAGATGAGGGCCCAGTGGTCCCCTCAGCTCGGCCTGTGCCCCACGCTGATTCCACCCAGCACCCGCCTGAGCACAAGGAACCATAATCTGCGGCATTAGGGGGGTGCCGGGCACCTCACTCCATGCACATGTGCACACAGGCTCAGCTCCCTGCAGGCACAGGGTCCCGAGAGCAGGGAGGGCAGCCCTTCGGCTCCTCCCAGAGAACTGAAATCCAAGAGGCTGACTGTGGTCACAGCTTCATGTTTATGCCTCTCCCAGGTGGCTGTCTGCCCAAGGTCTGAGGGTGCATGTGCACACACACACCTGCACACGCACCCCCAGACACCCAGGAGGGGATCTGTTTCCACACGGGGGCATTCGGGCCACAGCAGGGCAGGTCAGAACTGGGGCCTGTGCGGGGCAATTTTCATCTGAAAGCGACAGGCCAGGACAGCCGGGGCTGGACAGCAGGCACAGGCCGAGGCCAGTGTGAGGGGGTGTGGCACACAGAGGGACCTGTGTTTGCAGACAGTCCCATCCTTCCCTCATACTCTCAGAGCGGGGCATGCTCAGCCCCGGCAGAGGGACAGAACTGAGGCACAGGGCAGGTTCCAGAAGGAAGATCTGACCTGCCCAAACTGTCACGGCCCCTGGGACTTTGGTCATGAACTCTAAGTTCACTGTTCCCAAGGGTCACTAACAGCTATAACCACCACTCTTCAGAGCCAAGAGGAAGAGGAGATAAAGGCAAATACCTCTGCTCAGACCACCCATCTTGCTAGTGCACTCCTCAGGCAGAGGCCACTGAGGGACTGGCCATGGGTAGGGCTTGGCTCAGTGTCCTCTGTGGGGTTCAAAGGCCAGGCTGGTGGGGTGGAGGTGGGGGGGGGCGGCGCGGGAGCTGCTGGAAGCAGGTTTGGGAATCAGCTGCACTGAGGCGTCTGCGAAGGCCCAAGGGCTCATCTTCTTTGGGGGTCCCATTCCTGGAGGACTGCCAAGTGGCTCTCACGCCACGCACGCCATGTCCCCCGGCCAGAAGGAAAGCACGCCTGGGTGGGGAAGGGGAGGATGGCCTCGCAGCGGCCAGCGGTGGGGGGGTCCTCACTCAATGAGCTCCACGTAGTTGGCAGGAAACATGCCAAAGTGGCCGTCAGGCCCGTAGCCACGCCACCAGCCCTCATCGATCACCTCGATGCCCGTGATGAGATTCTCAGGGTCAAAGGAGATCTCAGTGTCGTCGGCTGCAGAAGGGTGAGCCGGTGCTGGAGCTGGGGTGCCTGGGCCCCAGCCCCCCACCTGTTCCAACACCACACAACAGCTCCTCCCCCACCCCCCGCCCCCCCAGGGCCTCCACCCAGGCTCACTCGGGACCCAGCATCCACCATGCACCCACCCCTCTGGTCACACCTTCAGGCTTCAGTGGGGCGCTGGCAGCCGGGATTCACACAACCAGACATCGGGCAGCTGCCCAGAGGGCACGTGAAGGCCCGGGCTGTGTGGGAATCCACCCCATTCTCCCCTCACCCTTCTGTCCCCCCCAAGAAAGCCCCCAAGGCCTGTATCCTGATGTGGGGCCCTGCAGTCTGAGCACATTACCTGCCTGGTAGTCGTACAGGGCCCGGGCACAGAGCCCCTTCCCGCTCAGCCCTGGGTAGTGGTCCACATGCTCAGAGCCAGCATCTTGCTGCTGCACCTGCCCAAGGACGGAGAGAAGAGGAATCTGGGGTCCTAGTTACCAGTTCTCGCACAGAAAGCAGGGGCTGCCATCGCCCCACCACCCCAGCGATGCTCCCCAACTTGGGGCCTCCCACATGGCAGAGTGTGCCAGACAACTTCTCGCCCGGGGCTGCTCCAAGATTAAACAAGATAACCCGCATGGGGCGCGCCATCAGAAAGTCAGGCATCCCACAAGTGGTATGGCTGAGGAGGGTGTTTCTGGTAACATGGCCTCCTCACAACCACACTCCACTGCAGGGGACCCACCATCGGGGGCTCCTCATAGAGGGTCTCCTGCTCTGGGGGCTCCTCGTACACAGCCTCCTCCTCTTCCGCTTGCACCAGACACGGCGGTGTGCTGGGCGCCAGCTCCTCACGGAGATCTGCATGGGAGGGTGCAGCTCACTCTGAGCCCATGGAGGGGAGGACCCCGCAGTGTCTCTGCCGCACCCAAACCCTCAGCCTCCCATGGGTGGCCAAGTGCCTTGCCTGGCCTGGGCCCTGAGGCGGCATGGACGGGCTCCCTGCTGAGCTGGGTCTCTGGTTGGGTGAACTGCTTCTGCAGGAAGGGGCTCCGCAGTTTGCCTGCAGACCAAGGGCAAACACACGAGAGCTGACAAAGGGGAAGAAGGAACAGTCTCCACTGTTTCGGGCCCTGCACTGGTGGGCCTGTCCTGGGACAGTGGCCATCACAGAGAGTGAATGGGGACATAGAACAGTTGCAGAAACACCACAGTGTGGGCGCACAGATGTGCACACACACGGCGCAGTCCTGGGTCCTCAGGGGCCAGAGAGCGCCCTCAGAGGACAGAGGCTCCTGGGGCCAGCTATGAACCAACATGCAAGCTGTACCACGAGTTTATGGGGTCAGGCCGGAGGGTCTCCCCTCTGAAGCCACACATGGCCCTTCCCTTCTAGATCTCTGAGAGGCGAGGCTGAGGGCAGGGAAAAGACACCTGAGGCCCAGGCTCCCCTCTCAGAAACTGCTCTCAAGAGCACGGGTTCTCCCTGCTCACTGTGTCTGTCACACTCTGACACATCTGTTGCCACCTCGGGGGACCCTGCACTGGGACCCCAGGACCCCTTGGCTGGCCCCCACTGAAGGGCTAGGGCCAGAGAGGGAAGGCTTACCTGGCTGGGGGCTGGAGATGGATGTGGTGGACAGGGCCCTCTCCTTCTGCTTGAAAATGTCCCGTGGATGTGCTGGCTGCTGACTGCCAGGCTCCTGGGGGGGCGGGAGGAGAGCATCCGGCAGTGAGCAGGGGCCCAGGAGCCATGAGAGGGGCTCCCTGGCCTCGTCTTAGACGCCTGCTTCTGCCCTTCACGCTCATCTCCACCACCACCTCAGACGTGCCCATGTGCGCCCTCGGCTCCACTCTGCCTAAATGGCCACAGGACCCTCCCAGGGACCGCCGCGTTACTGGACAGACGAGTCTCACCTGCTCCTGTCTGCTCCCCGAAACAACTTCTGGCTGCTCACACGTCCTGCTGGGAGGGGCACAGGGGGGAGCTGCAGCCCAGTCGCCTGCTTGGGACCCTCCCTCCACCCAGCCTCTGGGCCCTCACCTCTGGGGCGCAGCCTCACTGCCCTGCTCCTCCTGATAGCGCTGCTCCCTGCGGGCGGCCTCACGTAGCTCCCGCTCTCGGCGCTCCTGCTCCAGCCGCTGCCGCTCCTCCTCCGCCCGCCGCTTCTCCTCCCGCCTGCGGTTCTCCTCCTCCTTCTGCGGGGAGAGCCATGCCCACAGCCCACTCAGCACCCATGCCGCAGGCACACCTGCTCCCTCTCCCCAAGTCCACCCTAGAGTTCTTGCGAGTGCCGCCTTGGGGGTATGCGGCCTGAGTGCAGGAGTGAGGGTAATTGCCCGCAAGCCCTGTCAGCCTCAGTCTGACAGCCTGTAAACGGGCACTAACAGAACACATGTCCTAGGGGCTCACTGTGAGAAAAACCGAGGAAGAGAGAGGAAGCACTCAATCTCTGCGAAGGGCACTCACCTCTGCTTTGGCCCAGAAGCTGTCTTTGCCAACCTTTTTGATCTCAGACATGGCGTTGGTCTTCTGGTACACGGAGCCCTGCAGAGGACAGAGGATTCCCCACGGGACCACCCGCAGGACACTAGCGACAACCCTTAGGACGGCGCCTGGCAGGGGCACTGGCCCAGGGCCTCTCAAGACCAGAACCAAGCTGGCCCGATGGCCCTGGAAACCACCAGGCAATGAAACTTTCAACCCCTCGGCAACACTGAGGGGGTCTCTGGCTGCACCAGGCCGCTGTGGATGGAGGCCAAGCAGGTTCTGAGGCCGGCGTCTGGCCTGGGGCCATTTCTAGGAGGCTGGTCCACCAGCCACAGGTAGCTGACTGCACTGGACAGCACCCGGGAATCTCCAATGACTCCAGCTGGGCATCAGGGGACTGGGCCCCTCAACCTGGCGCCAGGACTAGAGGCCAGCAGGTGTGTCTGCCCATCCACCACCTGAAGTTCCTCTGCGGTGGCCCCCATCCGGGGCTGTGCAGGACACACTGGTGCTGTGGCCTCGGGGAGGACTGCACTGCCCCTGCAGAGAGCCTCCGAGCACAGAGCCAGTAAGAAGGTTCCAAACAGCCGGTGGACCAGACAGCGTCGAGGGCTGCTCCTCATGGCCACTAGCGCCTGCCCCACTAGGGGTAGCTCCCACTGCTGTCGGCCATGGGGACACCACCTGCACCTTGATCTGGCTCCGGGACCGGAAGCCAGGTAGGCAGAAGCCCAGCCCCATGAGGGATAAACCATCCAGGGTGGGTGCAGCCAATCTGGACAGGGCAATTGCAGGCCTCCCGCCCCACTGCCCACCCAGGCAGCACTCACCACTGGGGCCTGGGGGCCCGTGTCCTGGAAACGGCCGCTCTCCCTGTGGAAGGCATAGTTGGCACCCGAGGCTCTGGCCACCTTCTGCATGATGCATTCAGGCTCCACGTCCTCCTCGGCCCTCGCGTTGATCGTCACATGGGCCCCCTACAGCAGGAGAGCGCTCAGGAGGTGCAGCTCCAGGAGAGGACAGGACGCACACTGCAGTCCGCACGGCACAGACAACTGACGCCAAGGCTCAAGGGCAGGGGCCCTGCTGGGAATCTAGGCACACTCTGCTCACAGCTGACAAACCACCCTGAGGCAAACTTGTACCTGTCCCAGTGCGGGCACGAGGTCTTTGCCCTCTGTGGCACTGGCTACAGCTTGTTTCATGTGGGGCACGCTCTCTGCCCAGGCGTTAAACAGCTTTTTTCTCATGAACAAAAGCAAACTTTAAAAAGAGTCTGGGGGCGCCTGGGTGGCTTAGTCGGTTAAGCGTCCGACTTTCGCTTAGGTCATGATCTCGCGGTTCGTGGGTTCGAGCCCCGCGTCGGGCTCTGTGCTGACTGCCAGCTCAGAGCCTGGAGCCTGTTTCTGAGTCTGTATCTCCCTCTCTCTCTGACCCTCCCCTGCTCATGCTGTCTCTCTCTCTCCTAGAAATAAATAAAAATATTTAAAAAAATAAAAAATAAAAAAATAAAAAGAGTCTGGAAACTCATTTTCTACAAAAAGCAAGACGCTGACTTCTCCTTGAGAAGTGCAATCCATGACCTCACACACTGTTAGTATACACTAATAAGCTTGGGATCCTCTTTCAGCTCCTAGAAGAGAAAGCTAGGCACATCTGGAGGAGCACTGGCAGAACCTGAAATCCAAATGCTGAGTCTCTTTGCCGGTAACCAAAGAGATGCATAAAGTTACCCGACAAGCAAACAACAAACACTTTTGGCACTGAAGGAGGTGCCTGGGCACACACACTGTTCTCCTCCAGATCCCAGCAACAGTCACAAACTAGCAGAACCCAAGCCCTGCCCTGCCCCAGGACCAGCTCCAGTGTGTTTCTCTGTGCTCAAAAAGGACAGTCATTCATCCTTCCTCCCCACTGAGGCCAGCCTGCTGGTGGCTCTGGCCGCAGTGTGGCTTCCCGAGCACCTGCTGAACAACAGTGCAGCAGTACAAGAGTACTCAAGTCCAGACAGAGTACTAGGGCGTAGGACACACTTCCAACTCTGGCTGCCATTCCTGCTCACATACACCCAGGGGCCTGGGGGCCTGGCGAACTCTGTGAGGCCCTCAGGGAGCAGCCCTCACCTTCAGAAAGCTGGCCATGGTGCTGACGTGGTTGGCACATGCTCCCTTCCGCACGTCGTTCACACCCTCTCCAGTCTGCAACACAACACACCCAGCATGACTCACCAATCCCTCCCCCCGCCCTGCCCCCTGAAGCAGCTGCCTTCCCTGGGGACCCAGTGGCATCCCTGTGTCCCAGAAAAGACAAAGCTGGGACTCTAAAGCAGAGGACTAGGCAAGGCCCATACCTCCAAGTCAGGGAGGTTCTTGATGCAGGATGACTACCAGCTTCCATGGGCAGGGGTCAGCTGAGAACTTTCTACTCCCACCCACTGGTCCTGTGTTCTGGGCCTTCTCCAGGGCCCCTGGTCCCTCAGGATGACTACTCTGAAGGGGACAGAGACAAGGGATCCCATGACTGTTTGTACTCCATTTTGCAGGAATAATTCTGGGCTTGGGGGAGAGGGACTGGGGATTCTGCGCTGGCCAGGCCCCCGTTATCCTTTGGGCCACAATGACTTAATCCACTGTTCTGTTCATTCACCACCTCTGTGCTGCCCTGAAGTCAAGTCCTTCTCTGCTCCAGAAGAGAAGGCAGAGGCAAGAAGGAAAGGGAGTTCTTCTGGGCCACACCTGGATGAAAACTGACAGCCCTCAGTTCCACATACCCAGTTGATGAGGACAAACTTGGGCAGGCCGGAGTTGGGGTCCTTCACCCTGCAGAAGCCGTACATCACCTTCCCGCTGTTGAGCTCCTCCACCATCTCCTCCAGGCCTCCCTCTGCAGCAGGTCACAAGGAGGTGAGGGGCCTCACACCTGCTGCCTGTCCTGGCGCACTGTCCACCAGGAGACGAAACTCACACTGGCTCTAAACCAGGGGTTCTCAGTGTCACCTGGGTCAGAATCGGATTCCTGGGCCTGCCCCCACTGAGTTGACTTAAAGGAGCTGGGTGGGGCCCAAGATCTGCATTTGTGACAAGGACCTCAGGTGATTGTTTTTTTTAAAGATTTATTTTTGAGAGAGAGCGGAAGCGGGGAAGCAGCAGGGAAAGGGGGGGACAGAAGATCCTAGGAGGGCTCTGCACTGACAGCAGCGAGCTCACGCAGGGCTCAAACCCACGAGCCATGATGTCATGACCTGAGCCGAAGCTGGACACTCAACCGACTGAGCCACCCAGGTGGCCTAAGGACCTCAGGTGATGTTTTACATTACACCAGTCTAAAAACCATTCCTATACAAGCCCCAGTTAATTCTGTAAGTAAAACTATCATATCTGCTACAAATTGGGCATCAGGCTTCCAAACGGAGAGTCTGCAACGACCTTGCCATTGTCTGGACCTACCGAGGGCTCTGGAATAGGCCTGCTGGGAGTCACCTGCTCTAGCTACGAGTCTACTCAGACTCCAGGGCCACCAAGAGGGTCCTGAGGAGGTGGGAACGTCCCACAGTCACACTCAGGCTCAGTTCTTAGATCCTCCATGTGAGGCAAGGGAGAGATGGGGGCACAGGAGTGAGGCGTCCTCAGCCATTCTCCTGACACTTGAGGCTGTGGTCCTCATCAGCTGGCCAGGAGCCAGGTCGGGTACTTTAGCTATAGGGCCACAGAGACCTGGGGCAGCCCTGGGCCCCTCCTCAGGGTACACACAGCAGAGCCCTTTGAGCACCACTGGGGGTGGTGCTGGAAATGCAGGCTGCTGAACCCTGCACTTCTCCACTGCCTGAGGTATCACAGTGAGCGGGAGAGCATGGCCAGCAGCAGCCCTTACGAGGGAGGAGCTTTCTAGAACAGGCTCCAGAATCACTCGTGTGGCAAGTAGAGAATGCACTGGTGAGCATTTGCTGGGTAACAAAACTGTGTCCAACTCCCCAACAGTGATGCAACCATGGAAAGGTGGCGGACTCCGATGGCTACCACTCACTCCCCCTGCCCCCCTCCCCCACTGGCCTCCTCACCCCCTTACTTAGTCATACTCACCTCCTGTGCCGGCCACGCGGATGTCATTGCTGTTCCCCTCATAGGTGAAGAGAGCCCTGAAACAAAACACAGGCGAGCTCTGTAGCCAGTGAGCCAGGCGCTATCTGCCCTGGCCACACCCACCAGAGCTCAGCATGACAGTAACACAAGCCCCACGCTGGCCCGTCTTCTTACCTCTCACCCACAGGGACTTGCCCTGAGGGACAAACTTATAAAGGGAAGCCTATGTCTACTGTGAGGGAAACTAGACTGTAAAGTTTGTCTGACTTGATTTTATAGAAGCTCTATGCCCAACGTGGGACTTGAACTCACAATCCAGAGATCAAGAGTCGCATGCTCCACTAAGCCAGCCAGGCGCCAACGCCGTGTTGGAAAGGTTGTTTGATTTTTTTTTAAGTTTTACTTATTAATTTTGAGATTAAGAGAGAATCCCAGGCAGGTTCTGCACTGTCAGCACACAGCCCGACATAGGGCTTGAACCCACGAACCATGAAATCATGACCTGAGCTGAAACCAAGAGTTGGACACTTAACCGACTGAGCCACCCAGGTCCCTTGTTTGATTTGATTTCAACGAAGCTCTATGCCCAACGTGGGGCCTGAACTCATGACCCAGAGATCAAGAGTCACACGCTCTGCCAACTAAGCCATAGGAGGTGCCCCTAAGCTGGAAAGTTTTATGGTAACTGTCTACACATTCATGTGTGAAATACTCACTTGTCTACCAGGTTTTTAAATCTGAGAAAAGATACCTGCGTATTCCCAAACCCAGAGCCCCGCAAGGAGAAGTACATGAGGCATTTCGGAACGTCGCCCAACATCCTTGTGCGTATCTGCTCCGCCTTCTGAAAGCCCGAAGAGTTCGTGGAGCAGGTCTCTCTGGGCTTCAAACTCTTATGAAAAACCCAGAAACCACACAGGCCATGACTCACCATGAAGTCATGCAAATTCCCTTTTTGGAGGAGCCTTAACTCTCCACAGGTAAACTCTAGGCCACCCCTGCATTTTCCTGTAAGAATAATTATTCATTAAGAACCTTGGGAAAGATCTGTTCTCAAAAACTTGAGCCCCAGTGGTGTTGAGAAAATACAGATTTTATGACATGTGGGGCATAGAAAGTTCCTTGACCAGAACAAAGGTTACCCAAGGAGAACATTCTGGAACAGATGGCTTCTCCACAGTCTGCACGCAGCCCAACCATCAACGCCAACTCCGCAAGGAGCTCACCTCCAGGCTGGTGGAGCATGGGGTAGGGATGCTGACCCAGGAGACAGCAAGTCAAAGGCAAACTCTGGTCTCATGTGCCATCTCCCCCTGCTCTGAGCACAGCCCTTCTGTGGCTGGCCAGACAGGGACTCTGGGGTAAAGAGTCTAAAAGGAACCAAACTGGCGTCCACTCAGCTTCCCCAGGGCCTTGCTAAGGCAATGGGCAGAGCTGCCCAGCCTGAGGAAGTCGGAAGAAAGAAAACCCAGGCCCAGAGGGTCTGGTTGGCGCAGGGGACACGTCTCCTAGGAGAGAGACACTAAAAGGAACATGCAGATAAGTGGAAAGGTTGGGGGAGGAGGTGGACATACAGATTCTGGTGGCCGAGTCCCGGCCAGCCTTCTTCCTGGAAGAAGGTTGGATGTCTTGAAGCCACCAAGCCCTGGCTGTGGAAGATGGAAACACTGGACAAGCAAAGAGGGAGCAGAGACTTCTCAGCGCAGCTCTTTCAAGAAGGGACCCAACAGTAGTAAGAGCCAAGCTCCACAACTGCTGCCTGCCCTCCAACTTGACTCCCTCTACCTGGGCTCCAGCCCAAGCCACCTTTTTGAATGTTCCCAGATCAGAGGCTCATTCCCATGTTCAACTGACTTCCATCCTTCTTTCAAATCACCACAGAAAGGCGGTATGCTGGCCTGTGCACAGCACAAGGACTTGCAGCTCAAATCATCCCTTCCAAACACATGTACCAAGAACCTCCTGCTTGTGGTGATGGGCACGAAGCTTCAGATACATCCAAAAAGGTCCTGAGCACGGAATTCACTTTCTAATGGGAGACAAGAAAGAAACACACTGACAAGAATGTGCTGTCAGTCAGTGACATGGGTATAAGAGGTGAACATGACTCTGTCTAGGAGAATAACCTAGGGAAGCAAGAAAAAGATCTGAGATTGGGAGTTGACATGCCTGCCCCCTACCCCACCCAGCTTCGGGTCCCAGCCCAATGCCACCCACTCTCCATGTGAAACCTTTCGTGACCCACCTCCTCTTGCTGATACCCTCTACGGCACTCTGTGCCCTTCCCAGTCCAGTCTCACCCGAGTATTGAACGCACACAGCAGCCCTGCACTGGGGACGGACCGGCCCCACCCTTTCTGGTGAAGAGAAAGGTGACAAGAAAACCATGTGTCTGGAGAAAGTCAAACCAGGAGACAGGAAAATGTGAGTGCATACAGGGATGGCGGAGTCAAGGAAGGACTCTCCAAGCTGAGAAGTCTGGGGAGACCCTCAGGGATGATGAGGAAGGGTGCTCTAGAATGGGGAAGCGGCAGGAGTGAGGACTCTCAGGAGGAACCAGCTCTCTTTGAGGAAGAGAAACACCACAGTGGTGGCAAACAGGTGTGGCCTCAGTGTGGTAAGTGGGAGGGGCAGCTGGAGGGGTCAGGAGCTGGCTGCACAGGGCCTGCTGGCCAAGGTGAGAGGTCTGGGCTTTATTTCACGTGAAACAGGAAGCTGCTCAAGTTTACACACAGAAATACCATGATCTAGAAATTTTTTCAGCTGAGTGGGGCCCTGCCACACATACCTGTTGAGATACTTAATGGCTGTGGCAATGGGAACAGAGGCCAGCTGGTCACATGGTAAGAGGGAAAGAGGCCCAGCACCCTCATCAGGGACAGAGAGGAGGTGGGGAGGGGACGTTTCAGAGCAGGGTGGTGGCAGACAGCTCTGAGAAGAAGCCCAAAGAAAAGCTGGGAACATGGGAGGCCTGAACTGCCAGTTGGGCTGTGGGACATCATCCCCAAATCAGTGGAAACTGAGAATGAAGAGGACCTGGAAGGAAGCCAGAGGGACGGCCAGGAGTCCTTAGGTAAGTCAGCAAGCACTACAGCACATCCTCAGGAGCACACAAGATAGCAAGACCCTAGCTGAGCAGGACTGGAGAGGGACAAAGACGCTCCCAGGTTCCAGAGTCAGGTGGGCTCATGCGGATGTGAAAGGGGGCACTCGCCAATACTGTCAGTAGGGTTTGGAGTAACAGCAAAGGGCTAAGGGCTCTCTGGAAACAGGAGAGAAGTGGAATGGGGGCTGACGTCTAGGAACTCTTAGGAAAATAAGTGCCTGATTTGTGGGTGAACCTCCTAAGCATAATGAAGAAGCGAAAGCAGAGAAATCCCACGGGTTACCAGACACCCTTTCTCACTCATTAGATGTGCTGCAAACAGAGGAGCTGCTTGGCTCCCCTGCAAAAGTGTGCACCAGCCCCGCGCGGGACACCCACATCAACTCTGCCCCAGAGCCTCTGCTGACCCAGGCAGCTTATGTTCCCAAGCTCTCCCCAACAAGACTGAGGGCTGGAGAAAAGGTTAGAATGTTCGTCGTGTCACAACAGCCCACACAGTAAGAAAGCGCTCTGTGTTAGGCACCAGGGAGAGCAGAGAAGAGGAAGCAGTACAGGGGCGCGGAGACTAGCCCTTCACTGCAGCGCGGTCGCCCCCAGGGGGCCCTGACCTTGCCAGGGGCAAGGCTACCAAGGCCGGTCACCTTAGTTCGTCATACTCAGCATATTTCCATAGTACCGGAAGTGCTCAAAACTGGTCAGCGAAAACAATTCAGGCAAAGGGGAAAGGGATAGAGAATGATCGCGCAGCACCCCGGAGTTGCCGCCCAGGGTTACCCTGGAGCCCTCGGACACAGGCTCCCGGTACCGTAAAGCCCCAGCAACTACATGATGGGTACTGGACAGTGACGGCCCACTGGAGGCTGTCACGGGGAGGTGGACGGATTATGGGGTCTCCTTCCAGACAGCGTCGTTTCGTTCGTGTCCGTGCGGCTCAAGCACAGGAAGGATTATTCTCGGAGAAAGGGAGGGTCTGAAATCCACACTCACAGAGCCCGGGGGACCCGAACCCTTGACTTCCTGGCAAGGCTCCTATTCTCAGGCGGGCTCCCGACGCCCAGGGCCCGTCCCTGCAGTGGGCGCTTGGGGAGATGCTCCCACCAACGGCTGCGGAGATCCCCTTTGTGTGCGGACGGTCGTCCGCCGCAGCCTGGCGCGGAAGCCAACATGGAGGCCGGCGGGGGGGAAGGGGGGCGCCGTGGGACCCCCACGCACCGCGGGACTGGCGGGACGGCGGGTGACGAGAGTACGGACGGCATCTCACGGAGCGCGGCGTAGGTGTAGGTGAGGAGGGTGCCCCGGCGCACCCGCGTCCCCTGGCCTCCCGCCCCCGGCCCGGTTCGCTCCCGCCCGACTCCCACCAGTCAGTCGGGGACTTCTCGGTGACCACCCGCACGTAGGCGTCCTGCAGCGCCGGCCCGTTCCTGCTCAGGTTCGCAGCCATGGCCAGCCCTACTGTCCCCGCGCCGCCGCCGCCGCCGCCGCCGCCGCCGCTTCCGGGCCCTGCCCACCCCGGCGGCCTGGAAGCTGCGACTTCGCGGCCGGAAGCCCCGCCCCGGCTGCAGGAAGCCCCGCCCCCGGCCGGAAGCGGAAGCCAAGGGGAGAAGGTGCGGAGAGCTGATAGGAGGTAGGGCGTGTCTTTTGCGTGGCCGAGTGGCTGAGGCTCAGTTTCCTGGCTCCCATAGCTGTGCTCACAGAGGACCGTGCGTTTCTCTCCTCTCTTGTCGCAGTCAGTGCCTTGTTTTAAGAATCGGGCTCACTTTTCCCATGAACCCGGTCTGTGAATGGTGAAGCGTGTATGCATCGATGCGTGCGCGAGTAAACTCGCTGCTGAACCTCCTCCACCTCGCCTGCATTTTGCCCTCTCATTGGTAGAGGACGGGGTACGGAGGGAACCCCGCCGGCTTCCCTGCACAGACAGGCTTCCAGGCTGCCCCACGGCCCTGCGCCGATGCACGCAGCCTCTCGGGTTTCGGGGCAGCAGCACCGCGTTGTGTCCCGTGCGCTCGGGGAGCCCTCCCGCAGGGTCCTGAGCAGCCTCCCAGCGCCCTCCCGTTCCGCAGCCATTCTGTGAAACGTCACCCGAGCCGGCTACCAAAAGACTAAATAGCCTCGTGGTAGTTCGGATCAGGATTTGCTGCCGAATAAGCTACTGAAATTAAGGTGTGATTGTGCAGATAAAGCCTCGTGAACTTGGACACAAACGTTCATTGGTTATGTCCGCTTTTATTTCTGTACATTCTATTGCTGCTTTTCTTACAGGCAGAAGCTCTGGCATTTCTCTGATGGGCAAAGCAGCTACTTTCACCCACCCAGTCCTTCCTGGGTCTTCTCTCCTGCAAGGTGCAGCTCTCCCCATTTCTCCACTTTTTAAAAAATTTTTAAAATGTTTTTATTTATTTTAGAGAGACAGAGTGTGAGAAGGGGAGGAGCAAAGAGAAAGAGGGAGACACAGAATCTGAAGCAGGCTCCAGGCTCTGAGCTGTCGGCACAGAGGCCGATCAGGGACTTGAACTCATGAACCCCGCAATCCTGACCTAAGCCAAAGTCAGACACTTAACCAAGAAGCCACCCAGGCGCCACCCGCCCCCATTTCTCCACTTTGAATTAACTATTGTATTTGCATCAGAAAAGTTAGCTCTAGTAACTGGAGGCCTCCAGGCTCTCCCAATTTCTAAGTCTTTTTTTTCTTCAGTAACCTCTCCACTGCCCTCATTTTTTCCCTCAGAACCTCTTAGGCGGCTTTCTGCTCCATCCCAGGCCCTTGGCCTCCATGTTCAGAGAAGTTCAGCCCTCAGTCTGACTATTCTGCCTTCTTCCTTTTTGGCCCCAATTTATCTTTTTTTCTTCTTTCTCTAGGAATGTTCTCTATTTAAACATGTCCTACTCCCCAGTTTCTTCACTCACCTAGCTGCTGGGCCCGCATAGGGTCCTTGGACCCTTAAGAGGTCTGGGAGCACTTTTCAACATTTTAGTCAACTTGGAGACAACCCACCAGCCTGAAAAGAGGCAGATCTCTTTGTTCTGGAAACAGATCACCTTAGTGTGGTAACCAGGTTCATCTACACTGACAGCGGAAAAGCAGGAAGACCTGGGCTCCTTTGAGAGAAGGCTATTAATTAGTGTTTCCTGGTGTGGGAAGGTGGGAGCATTAGGGTTCTGCTTTATGCTCTAGGGTATGGGAGCCTATTTCCACTTGAAAGGCCTGGATATGGGGTGGGGAGCGTTGCTGTGGAAGGTCTGGGAAGAAGTGCTCCAGGCAGAGGGAACAAGATGTGTCCCAGCTCCGAGGTGGGAGTCCAGCCTAATGATGGGCTGAGGATGCAGCATAAGGGAGGAAACAGGCCCGGAGGACCCTGCAAGGATGGAGAGAGGATCTTGCCAGCAGACCCCTTCTGGAGCCCACTGTGTAAAAAAGAACTAACAGCAGTAAGAAAAGGAATTGTCTACTGCTCAGCCATAAAAAGGAATGAAACCTTGCCATTTGTGACAGCATAGATGGACCTACAGGGTATTCTGCTAAGTGAAGTCAGGCAGAGAAAGACAGATACTGTTGGAGGCCGGCTCCAGCAGGTCCAGGGGTCCCTGAAGGATGGATGGTGTCGGTGAGAGAGAGAGTGAGAGAGCCCCAAGATTCTTTCTGATCACCAGGCAGGCATCTCTGCTCTGTTGGTTTTGGTGTCTTTATTTAAAGTTTCAGCAACAACATGAAGTCAGAGAAAAGAATTTCTACATTGGGAGGCCTTTTGCGATAACAAGTTTTTGATATTCAGCAGAATTATCCCAGTCATAGTGAATTTATAACCAAGGAATTAACAGGATGCTCTTAGTGAAAAACAGGAGAACATATAAGTTAAATTGTATATAGATAAGCTAAGAGTCATTCTGTTTGGCTCTCAAGAGGATGGATGTTTCTGAATTGGTTTGTTTGTGGAAACTACCATGGGGGCCCTAAATGTGTCAGTCTTTGCATCTGGGTTTATGTTTTAGCTACTCTTATCTATCCTCATCCCAGCTGCCAGTGTAAGGGAGGGTGTTTGTGGAATGTAGGCCTTGAGGAAGGGACTGCTATGCTTCACCAATTAGCAAAGATATATGTAGTAACTGTTTTGCCCTTATCTTTGTTTCAGGGCCAGGCTCAATTGTAACTCTTGTGTTCTTAACCCCCTTTATTGTCTAAGTCTTGGATCTGCAAGGCCCATAGGAAGAGCCTTTGGACAATCATCCACAGAGCTTTCATCTAAAATCTCTCTTGCAAAGACAGGAACATGCTTTTCCTTATGAGGTATCTGTGTTCAGAATATTGGTCTGATATGGAATATTGTGAGGCCTGGTCAATACCAGCAGCCTCATTTCCAACATGAGCCAGTAGTAGCAGAAAGAGATACCAGTTTTTGTTTCTCATGGCAGGAGCTGTGCAAACACTGCCATTTCCTTGCTGTGATTGCCATCCAGAGAGGCCGGTGTGGCTCCCGGCAAAATACCATATTTTTTTGTTTATATGTGGAATCTAAAAGACAAAATGAACCCACCAGCAAAACCAGAAACAGAGTTGTAAACAGAGAATGAACTGGTGGCTGTCAGAGAGAAGGGGGTCCAAGGGCAGGCTAAATAGGTGAAGGGGACTAAGGGGTACAGAGTTTTAGTTATAAAATAAATAAGTCATGGAGATGAGAAGTACAGCAAATGAGTATAGTCCATAATATCATACACAGTCACTTTGCGTGGAGACAGACGGGGACTTCTCGTGGGGAATGCTGAATAATGCATGCATGGAATTGTTGAATCATGATGTTATACACTCAAAACTGATATCATACACTAGGTCAAATACACCTCAATTAAAGAACACACGTTATCTTCTTGCAAGACATCCCATAATACTGGGTATACACACTTTTAATAGAAACCATATATTGAATTAAAAAGGAAAGACGAACAGGCTTCAGTCTATCTGGGCTTCTAATGTCTGGGTGGCTGATAAACAGCAGAAACTTATTTTTCACAGTTCTGGAGGCCGGAAGTCCAAGATGAAGGGGCCAGTAGATTCGGTGTCTGGTGAGAGCCTGCTTTCTAGCTGAAGGACCCTGGTCTTTGTGACCTCACATGGTGGAGGGGCAAGGGAGCTCTGTGGGGTCTCTTTCATTAGGGCACTAATCCCATTCGTGAGGCCTCCACCCTTATGACCTAAAGGTTATCAACTGGCCAGTTAGGATTTCAGTGCAGGAATTTGGGGAGAACACAATCATTCAGACCATAGTAATCATGAAGAAGGGAGTCTTCATCAACAGAAGTGTCAATCAGCAGAAAAATCATTTACTTTTTTTTTTAAGTTTATTTTGAGAGAGAGGGAGGGAATGGGGAGAGACAGACAGACAGAGGGAGAGAGAGAATCCCAAGTAGGCTCTGTGCTGTCAGCCCAGAGCGTGACATGGGGCTCCATCTCGCGAACCTCTTGGGTCCACAGTGTAAGTTATCATTCACCTCTTGCAAGCCTGAGTTGTTTTCTGTACCTGCCAGACAGCTTGGACAGGTCCCCGCAGTGTCTCTGGCATGTCCCCTAGACTCTCTCCCCCCAGGGAACTTGACTGCCTGTCATGCCTTCCAGGGCTCCGGTCAGCCTAAAGAACAGGCTCCTCAGGCCAAAATCTTATTTTAAGACACACTGTAGTGCACTCACGTCCAAATGCCATGTTTCCAGGGTGAGTCCCTGGTCAGCAACTGGGGATCCAGAACCCACCTTTGGGGGATGCACTATTTTCTATGGACCAGAGAAATCAGGAAGATGCATCATCTTAGGCAACCAATCCACCACAAATGGAACACTACTAACTCTGGGTAGAAGCATCTGGGTTTAGTGGATGGTGCTGAGATCCTGGTCCTTTGTCAAGCTCCAGGAAGACCCAGCAGTTCTAAGAAAATGGCACAAGGTCGAAATTTTCTGACGGGATTAAAACGCTTGGACCCGAATGTCCAACAGGCCTCATACTGGGCACTATGTCAATGCCGTGGGACTCCATACCACCTCACTGCAGGTGCTTGTACATCTCACGAATCCGAGAGGGTTGACTTTACTCTCTCTGCTAGATTTCTCCAGAAGATAGAGCAGGCTGGGGAAACTGACTGGACTCAGAAAGGTCACTAGATTCCTAGGTCTTAAGCTATCATGCTTGACCTTGACTGTGGCACCCAGGGTCTCAACACCAACTTGAGCCTAGATTTTTCCCTCTCTGAACCTCTGATTTGTCTGCTAAGGAAGCAGAGTTGTCACAGCAGCAATGAACGTGGGGTACTAAGGTCATGCATGGGGACCAGAGGACACAGAAGTGCAGTATGGTCCCAGACGTCCGCGGGGCAGTTTTTTTCCTGCTCACTTCTGCTCCCAGGGCATTGCTTATCTCCTGTGCATGAGCAAGTGGGCTTCTTGAGGTAAGGGCAAGTCCTAGGAAGACCATAGGAGCTGTGGGGACAGGAAAAGCTGGCGGTCCCAGCTGGTTCCCCCTGACTCACCGG